TAACTATACTCTTAAATTTTCTCCTTTTTACAAATATAATAAAATGTTAGCCTGCTGTTTATAGAGAATAACATTACTTCACTCTGAAAAGCACGTGTCATGAACAATATGTAAGTAGGCAGTAGCCACTGACTTCAGGTTGAGACAAGATTTTGGGTTAAACGTCTTAGTTTTTCTCCACATATACCTCCAGTTTCTAATTCTGTTTAAACAGAAATTTTATTTCATTTTTTGATTAGGTTTCCACTCAGAATCATCTCTCACTGAGATAATTTATCTAGTCATTACTCAAGATTATTAATGCAGTTTATTTCCTGAAGTTCTTTCTCATAAGAGAAAATGCACTATTTAATTTACTTTATTCTGCCTTTCCCCCCCCCTAGCTTTCTTTTGGGTACTTCCATCAAAGAAAATAATCTTTTATGTTTGCTTGTTTGTTTGGGGGTCATACCTGGCAGTGCTCAGACCTTACTCATGACTTACTCAGGGCTTATTCATTCAAAGAACATACCTAGTAATGCTTGGGTGATCGTCTTTGGTTCCAGAGGTTGAACTAGGGTTAACTTGATGCAAGGCAAGTGTCTTACTCCCTGGACAATGATTCCAAATACTCTCTTTTTTTGATAAGTCTTTCCTAATTAAACTTCAAAGCTTTACCCATTAGTCTTTCCCACCTGCCCATTACACATCCTTCATTTTCCTGCGCCATACAATTCATCTGCAACTCAGAAGCTTAAAAACCAAGTCCAACTCATTACAAACCTTAATATCCTTAGATAGAACAAGTAGCCAGACTTAAAAATATTTTCTAGATAAGTAGCTGTACCAAAACATACTTTTATTTATTTATCTATTTTTTATTTAAACATCGTGTTTTACAAAGGTGTCCAATTCATTCAGTTGTTGCAGGCACTCAATACTCCAAAACCAGTTTCTCTATAGTGTAAACTTCCCTGTACCATTGTCCCTATATTCCCGAACATTCCCCAAGCTTGCCCCCTTAGCAGACATGAAAGAATTTATTTTAAATTGCTTATTGCAACTAAATGGATAATGAAATTATCAAAAATTAATTCAGTAAAAGAAAATTTGTGAAAGTTGTTATATCTCACCATGGTGTCATTCAGTACTTGTCTGAGGGTTTACTAAGCTATACGTTGCTAGTTCAGCCTTCTGTGTTATTGTTTATTGGGTGTAGTTGGCTTCTATGTTACTTTCCCATATAATTTGGTGTACTCCTAGTGAGATGTCAGTATTAAAGAATTTGCAGTCATGCACTCCAGAAACTCCAAGATATGTAACTGGGCTGTGAGTTTACATGGCGTAGTTGTGGAAGGTGGGTGTAGCTTTTCGGGCTTCTGGAAGTATGGAGGCAAAGTAGGGGGAGGCTGTTCACCCTCATTCTTAGAAGACCCCATAGTACTCAGCCTGAAAACTGGTATCTGGGGCTTTCATCAGTTTGGCATCTTACAGAAATTAGTCATGAAGCAGTTGGGTTGGCATGGTGGCAGCTGTGGGGTGTAGGTGTGACTGCCATGCCTTTGACTGGGCAAGGGCTTGGCCCGCCCCCTCCTAAAGGTGTCCCAGAGACCAAAACATGCTTTAAATTAATGGTAAAATCAACTGGTCTTTGACAACAGTGAAGGACATGAGTATTGAGAATATCAGTTGTGACTATGATCATAATCATAATCATAATCATAATCAATTTATTGAGCCTTCTCTCTGATTATAAGACACATTTCACATTTTGAACAGAGTTATATAAATTATGTCATTTAAACTCATTTCAACTAAAAGTCATAGTTGCTAGTCTCATTTTTTGACAAGGAGAATGTCTTTTATGTCGAATCATGTCAGACGGTGCTAGTGATTTAAACTCAGGGCTATGGGATGAAACAAAACAAAACAGCTCTGCTCATGATAAAAATGCCTGTTTCTGAATTTCATAAATATTTGATTTGCTTTTGTCAGCAAGACTTAACAAGTGTGCTTAGAGGGATGTAACAGAATGGCAGAGGTTTTTCTGATAGCCTATCAATGATTTGAATTCAGACTGTATCTGTGAAAAGTTGGGATTGTGAGAAGTCATGCTTCACCAAAAACTGAATACAACTTCCCTCTGCTTGGATACAGCCAAATCCTTTAATGCATCAAGTCCTGGGGGGAAAGAACACTTCCAAAATATGAAAAAAAAAACTCTTAATCTCTATAGCTGGCTTCTATCTTTCAAACCAGAGGTGTTAAATTGTTGTCCTCAGAGAGTCTGTAAACTCTCTGAAATGTTTGTGATTTGTATCACATAAGGAAATTTCACTGAGGGTCTTTAGCTAAATTTTCCATTTCTTAAAACGGTTCTTAATTTTAAGAGTGTTTCATGGTTTAAAAAACTTTATCGTTGATATAAGAGAAAGAACACATGGAGGGTGCGGGATCCCGGAGGAAAAAAAAAAAAGAAAAAACAGGTTCCAAAAAGAGCCGAGATCACCCGCAAGTTCCAGATGGAGTAGGTGCCGCATCCCGCCTCCCCCAGATGGAACCCCGGTGACCAGAAGCCTCTACAAACACAGCTCGAGTATGCAGGAACGAGGACTTTTTCTCAAAACCGCGCGGCCGCTTATGCGGCCGCGCGACATCTCTCTATATACAAAGTGATCAATGAGAAGTAAACCACCCAATCTTTCTCCCTGAAAGTCAGAGTTAAGTTTGGAGCACGGCCACAGCCCCAGAAACACAAGGACTTAATGCAGAACCCAGCAGCTTGGAGCAGAAAAGTGAAAGGACTATGCGTTAATCCAGGCCATCAAGTCTGCCGGAGGGGAAAGGGTGTTGCCCCATTCGCCCTCTCTTCTCTGGAAAGAAGGATGGCGGCCACATGGGAGCCTTGTGGACAGCAGGTATGAGCCGGGGGTGTGGGGGCGACTAAAACCTCATGGGAAGGGGGGCGTTCCGGTCCGTCCTTCACGCCCTACCGAGGTCACCAGTTGCCCCCCACGAGTGGCTCTCCAGCACGGCCACAGCCCCAGAAGCACAAGGGCTTAATGCAGAACCCAGCAGCTTGGAGCAGAAAAGTGAAAGGACTATGCGTTAATCCAGGCAATCATTTCTGCCCAGAGGGGAAAGGGTGTTGCTCCCTTCCGCCCTCCTCCCTCTGGAAAGAAAGATGGCGGCCACATGGGAGCCTTGTGGACAGCAGGTATGAGCCAGGGGTGTGGGGGCGACTAAAACCTCATGGGAAGGGGGGCGTTCCGGTTCGTCCTTCACGCCCTACCGAGGTCACAAGTCGCCCCCCACGAGCGGCTCTCCAGCACGGCCATGGCCCCAGAAGCACAAGGACTTAATGCAGAACCCAGCAGCTTGGAGCAGAAAAGTGAACGGACTATGCGTTGATCCAGCCCATCAAGTCTGCCGGAGGGGAAAGGGTGTTGCCCCATTCGCCCTCTCCTCTCTGGAAAGAAAGATGGCGGCCACATGGGAGCCTTGTGGACAGCAGGTATGAGCTGGGGGAGTGGGGGCGACTAAAACCTCATGGGAAGGGGGGCGTTCCGGTCCGTCCTTCACGCCCTACCGAGGTCACAAGTCGCCCCCCGCGAGCGGCTCTCCAGCACGGCCACGGCCCCAGAAGCACAAGGACTTAATGCAGAACCCAGCAGCTTGGAGCAGAAAAGTGAACGGACTATGCGTTGATCCAGCCCATCAAGTCTGCCGGAGGGGAAAGGGTGTTGCCCCATTCGCCCTCTCCTCTCTGGAAAGATAGATGGTGGCCACATGGGAGCCTTGTGGACAGCAGGTATGAGCTGGGAGTGTGGGGGCTACTAAAACCTCATGGGAAGGGGGGCGTTTCGCTCCGCCCTTCACGCCCTACCGAGGCCACCGGTTGCCCCCCGGGAGCGGCTCTCCAGCACGGACACGACTCCAGAACACAGAAACCAATTTCTTAACTATCTGACTTTCAGTAGAAATACTTCCAGGGTCAATAGGTAAAATAGCAGAAATCCAAAACCAACATTTAATTCTTGAACCCAGCTGTAGAAAGCAAATCACTTCACAATGCTTTTTCAGCATGTCTGATTTGGGGGGGGGGTAAACTCTAAATAATAGTGGTGAATCTTTTATTGAAACAATGAATCTAATCAAAGCAGATAGAGTGTTAACTAGAATTCATCTGCCTCACAGGGACGGGGAGGGGTGGGGGGTGGGGTTTTATTGGGGTTCTTCATGGTAAAAAATAAGTATTGGTAAAGGGAAATGTGTTTGATATTTGCATGACTGAGACATAAACCTGAAAGCTTTGTAACCTTTCCCACAGTGATTCAATAAATTAAAAAAAAAAACTTTATCGTTGATTTATAGTTTACAAATATATAGTTTGAAACATACATTTACAGAGTAGTTAACAGGCTGAAGCTATAGCACAGCTTGTAGGGCGTTTGCCTTGCATGAGGCCAACCTGGCCGACCAGAGTTCGATTCTTCCACCCCACTTGGAGAGCATGGCAAGCTACTGAGAGTATCTTGCCTGCATGGCAGAGCCTGGCAAGCTCCCTGTGGTGTATTTGATATGCCAAACACAGTAACAACAAGTTTCACAATGTTACTTGGCCCACTCCAGCAAATCGATGAACAATGGGAGGATAGTGACAGAGTAGCTAATGCTTCATTATTTTGCTTTATCCATTCAACACCTCGTTGAGCAAGACATTACAATGATAATTCATAGAAAAAAAACCTGTGAAATTGAAAAAGATGACCAGGATTAAATTTAGAAGTGTGGCATGCTGACTATATTTGACTTCCATTTGTAATATGTGCATGTGTGTATGAGTGTATGTGTGTATGTATGTAGAGGTGAATACAGTAAAATGTTAAACTGGATTCTATGTACTGATGTTTTTAAAAAATGTTTAACATGTTTTTAAAAAATCTCAAGATTCAAAGAAAGGGGCATATCTTCTCAGTATTAACTTCAACTATTTATTTATTTAGTTTGTTATTTTAAGATTCAGATAGGAGTGATCAGCGTGCTTCATGTCTAATCATGCAGAGACACAAATTACAAATCGTTCAAACTCCAATCATCATGTTCTATCTGCCCTCTGAATAGAGGAAAAAGTAAAGGTTATCTTACCTGACGATCAATTTCAATTATTAAGGAGTTATTTGATATAAGTTGACTTTGATGATTCTGTGAATTGTCCAGCCTAACAGAGTAGTTTAAGAACCAGAACATACTAAATTTGAACCTTAGGTTCTGTATCTATATAAGAGAGTTAAAGATAGCACTTACTTTGACCTTCTCTCTCTCTCTTTAAAGTCGTTGGCATTTTGGTACTACTGAAGGTGCCATACATAACTTTGCACATTAAAACCATAAACATTAGCATTATTGTGACTGAAACTATAATGTTTTTAAAAAGGCAGATGAAAGCATAAGTGATTTCTGGTTCATTACTCTTTCCTGAATGCTTTATAATTGCTTCACATCTGGGTTTCATTTCCTCCACTGAAAACCGAGAACCTTGGGGTGAGATAATTTTATAGATGGCTTTTAGCTCCAATGTGCTCCTTCTCTGATACCATTCTTGAAGATCCGAGTAAGGGGCTCTGAGAAGGTATAAAAAAGCAAAAGAACAGCTGCTTTCATAGAATTCCTACAGCCATTACATTCTAGTATCGACTTCAGCTGGTGTCTGAGTTTTTCCATATTTTTTTTTCCTCTCATGGTGTCTTGAGTGCCAAAGTCACAACTTTCTTCCACTTTTCAGGAAACCGGTTAGTCATACCAAGGTACTTCAAACACAGGTGCTGGTGGAGCCTGCCAAAGGTAAAGTGTGCTTCACATCTGTGCATCTCCCCACCCTCCTTCTCTTGAGAGGAGAGGATGCTGAACTCTAACACTGATCCCTTTGACAGAATACAAATTCGACTTCAGCAGACAATGTTCCCTGGGGCCCTTCATGGGTCAACCTGTTATTTCTGTAGGTCTTTCCACTCTCATAATCAGGAATTGGGATTCTGCAATGTCTTTTCGCGTTATGTCACTGGTGGGGGAAGTGAGTATGCTTTCACTCAGTGGGTAGGGCGCTTGCCTTGTACACAGCCGACCCGGGTGACCTGAGTTCAATTCCTCCACCCCTCTCAGAGAAGGTACTGAGAGTATCTTGCCCACAAGGCAAAGCCTGGCAAGCTCCCCCTGACGTATTCAATATCCCAAACACGGTAACAACAAGTCTCACAATGGAGGTGTTACTGGGCCTGCTCGAGCAAATCGATGAACAATAGGAGGACAGTGACAGTGACAGTGAAAGACAGAGTTTGACTCAAGAAAATGGAGAGGAATGGCAGACCAAGTCTGAATAAGTGATTTTTATTTTCTGCATTTGGGGGTTAGAACTTTCTCTTGAACAATTCCAGGCTGTGCCGATTCAATCAGATTCTATCTTAAAGGCAGTCCCCAGGAAACAGATGGAATACATGTGATAAAAATGTAGTTTCTGGACTTGAGCAATATTGCTCCCAACCTGGATGGTCTGCAACTACCTTCATTTGATCACACAAAATTTCATGTCATCTGGAGACTGAAATTTGAAGGTCCGCATATATCTTTATCATTCTTTGTGAAACCTGGAAGTAAATCTTTTATAAGCGTGTGCTGAAGCAAAAATATGATTATTAAAAAGAAAGGCTAGGTTGGGATCCAGAATAATGAGTAATTTATAAATATGTATAGCACACTGGCAGAGGGACAAAGCCACGCGGGTTCCGGGGCCGAGATCTCCAAGCCTACTCGGATTGGAGTCGAGCATCCTCCACCCAGATCCTCCAAATTCCAGTAGGCGGGGGTCACACCCACCACCTGGCCCCCTGGTGCCGTGTAATCCCATCAGCGGCCAAGACTCAGAGACTATAAAATCCAGCTCCTGGAACTGCGCGACCGCATTCGCTGCCGCACAACATCTTATCAGGACATCTTTTTATGACATCTTATTATCTCATTCCTACTTTGGACAAAATTGCAGGCTATCGAATGTAGCCTGCCCACAGGGCAGAGTCTGGCAAACTCCCCGTGGCTTACCAAATATGCCAAATACCAGTAACAATGATGGGTCTCATTCTCCTAAAGACCCTTGAATATAATCTCAGGGCTAGGATGAAAGAGATGTTACTGGGGCCTGCTCGAGGCAATCGACGAATAACAGGATGATGAATGAATGAATGAATGAATAGCACACAAAATCTAATTTGAGAGATAGAATCTAGTGCTGAAGAATGCTACTTTATCCTGCATATTTTGTCAATTTGTTGTATTTTTGTTAGTAAGAATCTCAGATATTACAATTATTTTAGTCAGTTGTCTGATCCAGATGGAAGGAAGTATTAAGTGCTTTTATAAGTTAGTGTTTCTCTTTAAGATCAGGGACAAGACAAGGATGCCCACTATCACCACTTCTGTTCAATATAGTACTGGAAGTACTTTCAATAGAGATTAGGCAAGAAAAAAAATTAAAGGCATCCAAATAGGAAAGGAAGAAATCAAGCTCTCACTATTCGCAGATGATATGATACTATATCTAGAGAATCCTAAAGCCTCTACCAAGAAACTCCTAGAAACAATAGATTTGTAGAGTAAAGTTGAAGGCTATAAAATTAAAATGCCAAAAAAATCCATGACCTTCCTATACGCAAATAATGAGACAGAGGAAAGTGACAGGAAAAAAAAGTCCCGTTAACAATCGTGCCCCAGAAAATCAAATACCTCAAAATCAGCCTAACTAAAAGAGGTAAAGGACCTCTAGAATGAAAACTACAAAACGCTACTCCATGAAATAAAAGAGGACATGAGGAAATGGAAACATATCCCCTGCTCATGGAGAGGAAGAATTAACATTGTCAAAATGGCAAAACTCCCCAAGCATTGTGCAGATTCAATGCGATCCCTATATGGATACCCATGAAATTCTTCAAAGAAATAGATAAAGTATCCTGAAATTCACCCACGAATAGCTAAAACAAATCTTGGGAAAAAGACACGGGGAAGCATTACTCTCCCCCACCTCAAACTCTACTACAAAGCAGTAGTAATTAAAACAGCATGGTATTGGGGAAAAAGGCAGGTTCGCAGGCCAATGGAACAGGGTGGAATATTCGTACACACAACCCCAAATATATGAACACCTAATCTTTGATAAGGGAGCAAGAAATGTGAAGTGGAGCAAGGAAAGTCCCTTCAACAAATGGTGCTGGAAAAACTGGACAACCACATGCAAAAAAATGGGCTTAGACCTCGACCTAACACCATGCACAAAAGTCAGATCAAAATGGATTAAAGATCTCAACATCAGGCCCAAATCCATAAGGTATATTAAAGACAAGGTCGGCAAAACCCTCCATGATATTGAGGTTAACAGTATCTTCAAAGATGACATGCCACTGACCAAACAAGTGGAAACAGAGATAAACAAATGGGACCATCTTAAATTAAGAAGCTCCTGTCCCTCAAAAGATAAAGTGACCAGAATACAAAGACAATCTACAGAATGGGAAAGGATATCACCCAATATCCATCTGATAAGGGGTTGATATCAAGGATATACAAAGCTCTGGTTGAACTCCACAAGAAGAAAACATCCAACCCCACCAAAAAAATGGGGTCATGAAATGAACAGAAACTTTCTCAAAGAAGAAATCCGAGTGGCTAAATGGCACATGAAAAAATACTCTACATCACTAATCATCAGGAAGATGCAGATCAAAACAACAATGAGATATTATCTCACACCACAGAGACTGATCCACATCCAAAAGAACAAAGGGAACCAGTGTTGGCACGGATGTGGTGAGAAAGGAACTCTCCTTCACTGCTGGTGGGAATGCCGACTGGTTCAGCCCTTTTGGAAAACAGTATAAACGGTTCTCAAAAAAATTAGAAATTGAGCTCCCATTTGACCCAGCAATACCACTCCTGGGAATATATCCCAGAGAGGCAAAAAGTACAGTGGAAATGACATTTGCACTTCTATGTTCATTGCTGCACTGTTCACAATAGCCAAAATCTGGAAAAAAACCAAATGCCCGAGAACAGATGACTGATTAAAGAAACTTTGATACATCTACACAATGGAGTACTATGCAACTGTTAGAAATGATGAAGTCATAAAATTTACATACAAGTGGTACTACATGAAAAGTATCATGCTAAGTGAAATGAGTCAGAAAGAGAGGGACAGACATAGAAAGATTGCATTCATCTGGGGAATATAAAGTAACAAAATAGGAGACTAACATCCAAGAATAGTTGAGATAAGTACCAGGAGGTTCACTCTATGGTTTGAAGGCCAGCCACACATGCTAGAGTAAAAGGCAGCTCAGATAGAGAAGGGAACACCATGTAAAGGGTGTTGGGAGTATCCTCCCAGGATGGGAGATGCATGCCAAAAGTAGACTATAGACCCAACACGATTGCCATTCAATGCCTCTTTTGCAAACCTCAGCACTCAGAAGGAGAGAGAGAACAAAAGGGAATGCCCTGCCACAGAGGCAGGATGGGATGTGGGTGCTGGGGGTGGTGGGAGGCATACTGGGATCATTGGTGGTGGAGAATGGGTACTGGTGGAGGGATGGGTACTCGATCATTGTATAACTGAAACCTAAGCACACAAACTTGTAAGTCCATAACTGTACCTCATGGTGTTTCACTAATCACTTAATCACTTAACTTCCCGTTAGTCGTCGATTTGCTCGAGCGGGCGCCAGTAACGTCTCCATTTGTCCCTGTCGCGTGCTAGTGTAGCCCAATGGCATCTCTTCGCACCGGGAACATGGAGGGCCTCAAACCGATCGTTCATGACCTTGACAAAGAAGTCTGACCATCTGGTAGGTGGGCGGCCACGCGGTCTTTTGACATCCCGTGGAATCCAATCAGTAACAGCTCTAGTCCAACGGTCGTCTTTAAATCTCATTACGTGACCAGCCCATCTGATTTTCGACACCTTGGCAAATGAGACAGCGTCCCTGATCCTTGATCGTCGACGGATGTCAGAACTCCGGATTCGTTCTCTCATTTGAGTGAAACGTGATATTCCAAGCATAGCTCTTTCTATTCTTCTTTGGGAGACCTGAATGGCGTTCTCATCTT